TTGGGGGGATTTGAGGAGTTTTGGGGGATTTGGGATTGTTGGGGTTTTGTGGGGTTTGGGGGATTTGGGGGAATTTTGAGGGGGTTTGGGGTGATTTGGGGGGGTTTGGGGGATTTGTGGGGTTTGGATGGATGGGATGGGATTGTGTTGGATGTGGGTGGTGGGAGGTGGTGCCACCCCAGCGAGGTGACAATGCTGGTGTCCCCATGTCCCCGTGGGATTTCAGCCGATTCCTGTGAGGTGACAGTGACAGTGACAGTGCCAGTGCCAGTGCCAGTGCCAATGTCCCTGCAGGAGTTCAGCCGGTTCCTGCATTGTCACCACAGTGTTCCCGTGTCCCTGTGACAGTGACAATGACAGTGACAGTGACAGTGACAATGACAGTGACAATGTCTGTGTCCCCGCAGGAGTTCAGCCGGTTCCTGCGCTGTCACCGCGGTGTCCTAATGTCCCTGTGACAGTGACAGTGACAATGACAGTGACAATGTCTGTGTCCCCGCAGGAGTTCAGCCGGTTCCTGCGCTGTCACCGCGGTGTCACCGTGTCCCTGTGAGGTGACAGTGACAGTGACAGTGCCTGTGTCCCTGCAGGAGTTCAGCCGGTTCCTGCGCTGTCACCGCGGTGTCACCGTGTCCCTGTGAGGTGACAGTGACAGTGACAGTGACAGTGACAGTGACAGTGACAGTGACAGTGACAGTGACAGTGACAGTGTCCCCGCAGGAGTTCAGCCGGTTCCTGCGCTGTCACCGCGGTGTCACCGTGTCCCTGTCGGACCGCCTGGAGTTCCTCAATGGCTGGTACCTGCTGCTGGTCACCAGCGACGTCCTCACCGTGCTGGGCACCGTGCTCAAGATCGGCATCGAGGCCAAGGTGACACCGGGGACAGTGACACACCTTGGGGACACTGCCAGCCTGGGGACAGTGCCACACCCTGGGGACAGTGTCACACTGGGGACACTGCCACACCCCGGGGACACTGCCAGTCTGGGGACACTGCCACCCCCTGGGGACATTGTCACACTGGGGACACTGCCAGCCCCTGGGGACATTGTCACCCACCCTGGGGGGACACTGCCAGCCTGGGGACAATGGGAGGGGACATTGTCACTGCCTGGGGACACGGTGGTGGCACTGTCCCCGTGTCCCCACAGAACTTCTCGGGGTACGACGTGTGCAGCATCCTGCTGGGGACATCGACGCTGCTCGTGTGGGTCGGGGTCATTCGC